TTAGGTAAATGCTCATGACTGACCATCCATACAAGTATAACAATATTATTTATATAATTTTTTTTATATAACTTTCATAAACTAAAACTGGTGAATAGTATTATAAAGGGACAGAATCTCTTACACATGAGATTCTATACTATGGAAAAACAATATCTTATATTCAGGCTTTCAGTAAAGTTAAAAAATGAATTCTGGCTTCAAAACAATGATGTGCTTGGTCACATACCATTCCAGTCATTGTTTGTTTACAGGGTCCACTGCCCAGTAATCAGTCAAGGTCATTTAAAGTTGGACCTCCTTGTAGAAGCTTGTTATTTACCTCACTGAACACCATAAGGGAGGCCTACCTTATGCTATTCAGAGTGCATGTGTCCCACATGTGATGGACAAAAACAAAAAAGCACAGTATGATGTGATCTTTAAACAACCTGAGTAACACAAACCGCCAGGAGTACACTGAACCACACATTCTGGATCTTGAATCATCTTAAGTTGCAAAACCTAGCTGACATTATATTGACATTCAAGCTATCACAGTTCCACTCCTACCCTCTCCCTCTAACCCAACCCCCTCACTTTCTGTACTAAAGTCACATGCACTTCAAACTAGATAATACTGTATGTATACAACAGCAAAGCAAAAGTATTCTTATTCAAACAGTATATATACATACTTATATACATACATACATGTAATCAATGATTTTAAACTTTAAAAGACACAGATTGTGGTTACATTGACAGTCACCTATAGTCATTCATCTTACCAGAGCTGTTGGTCCGCAAAACTATTTAAAGTGGATGAAGAAAAATGTTATTTCACAGTAGAATCGTGTAGTGTTTGCTATGCAGCCACCATCAGTAAATCCTGTATAGATTGTGGTCACCCACTAGACTACAATGATTCAGGCAGTGTCATGTCCTGTGGTATGACAGCAAAACAGACGCAGGCTAATCTTTCCCCTAGGCCATTACATTATAGCACTTACACATGGAGATAACCTATAGTGTGGCAGTAGGTGGATCCATCATAACTGGTATAGGACAAACCATTGCATCTTAGCACAGATTTAGCCAAGAGTCCTTCACCTAAGTACTAAAGACTTACCATGGAACACACACCTAAGCACAAGGGATTTAACCTGGAATCCCAGGCCACCATTTTTACCAGAAGTTCTATGCCATAGTACCACAGATTTAACCAGGAGTTCAACCCCTAACTACCACAGATTTAACCAGGAGTTCCACACCTAAGTACCACATAATTAACCTGGAATCCCAGATCACATGTTTCATCAGGAGTCTCTCACCACAGATTTAACCAAGAGTCCCACACCACAATACTACATATTCAACAAGGTGTCCCATATAACAGTACCACAAATTTTATAGCCTCTCCTGAAATGTAGTTCAAGTAGATTCAGGGTTCCTCTTTATATTTATTTCTATTTTCATTTATTAAACTCCCAAGAGTTTAGACTCATATACAGTTCTGAAACCAACCCAAATTTCCCTATAGCGATCCCAAAATCTTCCAACAGTCCTAACGATTCAGTCCTCGGATAACATTGTGATGTTCTAGCAATAGTCCAAACAATACAATGAAGCACTGTATTTATAGTGTGTTGTGTCCCAATAATATGCTAAAGTTCCCGACTCCCCATGGGAATTCTTATTATAGCAAGGAGTCCTTGTGCATGAGGCTGTTCTTATAACACCAAGATGTCTCCATTGCAGTTAAATTACAACCTTAAACTCCAAGGTCTATCATATTTCCAGGTTATGTTTGTAGTAACATTTTCCATGTAGTATAATCGATCGAGACACCTTTAAAATACTCTGTAGACATCTCAAAACATTGCTCTAATCAATTTGTATTAGTTGATCCATTTGGCTAGGAAATGTCCCTCTATCAGAAGTCTTTTCTAACAATGTAACAACTTGCTTCTGATCACATTTAAATACATTTGTATATACAGCTGGATAAAGTGTACTAAATGACATAGCTGTAGGCAACAGACCTAGATATAGCACTGAATGCCCTAATGTTTAAAAACATGTTTTAATCATGCTCATAATCAAAGATCTAAAGTTGTACATCTTTTTTTTTTATTGAGATCTAAGATTATTTATTTATTGGTTTATTGATATAAGGCTAATACAAATTACCGCTCCTCTCTACCATTTATGATACAACACAAATTTTCTTTGTTCAAACTTGCAGAATCAATGATTATTTTGGATTTTACAAAGCCACTACGTCTTGAATTAGAAAGTGATAACCAGAGTAATGACTGCAAACAGATATCAAACATTTAGCCTCAGATCTAAACTCATATACTCGCAGGTTGTCATAGGGTTAACTGAAACAAAGCATACCTGCCTTCCTCCTCCTAATTATATCATACATTTAAACATACCCTCAACCTCTTCCTACCAATTACACTGCAAAGACATAGCTTACGATATTTGCCAAGCGAATAAGCAAAACCCATATCCAATTTTATCAATTATATAATTAATTAATTAAGTAATTATATCTTACTAAAGGGTTTCATATAAAAATTGGACAGGGATCACTCCACATGTAACATAAATGTTTCCTTGAAATCAGATCACTAAACATACATGCAACCATTCATCAATGTAATTACATCATAACATGAATATGTGTATAAGATACATTTCTAACACAATTAATGTAGGCTACACAATGTAAATATTGCTATGATTTTTTGTTACATGACATATTGCATCCGGCTTTGAATAGGTTTGTTATAAATTTCTTTTTGGAATGAAAAAATTGTCGATTGTAAAAGCTTGTGGTTAATATGACATTAAACAGATATTAACAATTTAAACTAATCTCCAAGTACTTAGTTAACTATTGAAGTATAGCTAATTACATAAGGTTACTGTGGATTCATTTTATTTCGTGGGGGTCCAATTTTTGTTGTTTTCGTGGATGAGCAAATCCACGAATTTAAAAACACAACGAAATATGAACTACTTACTAAAGTAATTTTGAAATTTGACCAAGTAATCTTTGCCGACACCGGAAACGTCCACCGGTAATGACAGAAGCCCCGTAATTAGTCGGGAGTCGGGTAGTCTGAGGCTCGACATGGATACGCTAAATTGGTGTCAACGATATATAATTATATATTATTAAACATAACAAAGGGTAAGTACCCATTGTGATGCTAAGTATGATGGGATCGCAGTCGTTAGCGACACTGTGGACACTAGGCTTGATCGGACCATCTTGTCGATTGAAGATTGGATCTGTATTTCTATCCGACTACAGGTTCACAATAATTATTAATAATGCAGATCTTGTTTACACACCTGTTTACACACATGGTCCCATCGATACGCGTGGTGTTTTCATATGACTGCGGTACACCGACTGATCAGCACACAATGTTTATCCACTGAAAACAATTGTTTCTGATAATTACCGATTGATTACACGCCAGGATATATACTGATTTGTGGTTTGATATTAATGCGAGACTGTTGTAAACAGCGTTATAAAAACACAGGACGCCATCTTGAAAAAAAAACGTTCTTTTATTCTTGTCATTAGTGTTAATTCCTGTGAACATAGCCTTAATACAAACAGAAAAAAAATCGACTGGAAGCAAAAAGAGAAAATTCTAACGTTTTTATTTTTTTCCCACAGAACCAAAAATCCACGAATTTATGAGTCCACGAAACTGTCTAATTTGTAGAAACAACGAAAATTGAACCCAACGAAAATAAATGAATCCACAGTATATCATTACTTTGACTTTGTGAACAAAATTACTTTATACCATGTACAATCATTCACAATTTGTTGATTATTCAAAATCATCAATCAACGGTCTACATCACTTAATAGTGACTCACAGTCTTCAAAACTTGTTAATAAATCACAGTGATCATCATTTATATGTACTAGTAACTCAAAATTTTTATCACTTGTTAGTGACTTACAGTTGTTTCACTCATTATTGACTCAGTCATCATCACTATATATAGTGACTCAAAGCTGTCATCACTTGTTAGTGGCTTATTCATTAAAATTTGTTAGTGACTCACAGTTGTCATCACTTGTCAGTGACTCACATTTGTCATCACTTGTAAGTGGTTGACATTTGTCATCATGTGTAAGTGACTCACATTTGTCATCACTTGTATATGACTCACAGATGTCATCATCTATAAGTGACTCACAGTCATCATCATTTGTCCACTCACAGACATTGTACCACTTGTTTGTGACTCACTATAATCATCATTTGTTAGTGACTCACAGTCATCCTTATTTGTAAGATTGTTATAATTAGTGACTCACATCACCATGACATGTTAATGACCGTCATCTTCACAGGTTATAATTAGTAACTCAGATGTTAAGAATGATACTTACCCTCTTCATCACTGACCACTGATAGGAAAATAAGTACATCTATTTTCAGTATAAATTTAAACATATATGCTCAACAGGTTGCTTTATTTTCTTCCTTATGAATTTAAACGTTAACACTGTAATCATTAATAGTGATCCTGAAAATTCAACCTTTGTTACTTACAGAATAAAGCAAACAACAATATGAGAGGTAATTAGTACCTACAGAGCAGATGAACAGCCCTTGCCGAGTAGCAGGTAAACAAGAAATGATGTATAGCTACACGTTAGATGGTTATTAAACTCATCGATTAGTTTGTATAATTAATCATACAACCGATGGTCTTTCTACAATTACTATCAGCTACAGAAAGAGACCATGTTAACTACCCGATGACGGTGTCTTGTGACTCTCACCAGTCAACACGACTCCGTGGCTGTACTGAGATGACCAGTAGGGATATTGTCACTTGCCGATCGATAGCGATCAATCACAGCTAACCTACCGGCAGCGGTGGTAAAATGTTGAATGATACAGACAGTAAACCAAGTAAGCGTCAGTGGATTAGACGAGATGGACTGTGTGGTTTAATGCACTTACCTTCGTATCTGCCTCCGAAGTCAGTAAAATCTTGTCTGTTTGCCATAACGTTTCTATGGCTATAAATAATTTACTTCAATGCACTTCTTAAGGATAATAACAGTCATTCTTGTGCTGTGACAGTTTTCATCCCCTGAAGGATCCTCTGGGCAGCTCTTCAATGGAAGAGTTAAAAATAGCCTACACCAGGAAGTGCGCCTCGTTTTGAAACTGAAACTGGACTCACACGTGTTGAGATGCTCATAAATAAACATTCATAAAACAAGATGCGAGACACTCCATTATCGAATTGTGAACGAGAATTTATCAAGCAAGCAGTAATACAAAAGAAGGTAATTCTAATTTCGATTGTTTTTGATGAGATTATCACATTGTGGATGATGTTGGACGGGTCATAATCTGGTATATTTGAAGTGAGACAATCAAATGTTTTTAGCATTTTATTTCAGATACTTTAGTTTTGATGGAGTAAACTATGTTTCAGAGGTATTTTGAAACATTTTCTTCATGTTGGTAATATTAAAACCATCTTGTGTCCTATTTTACTATGATCAGTTAACACCTTGTCATACTATTTCGAACTTGATGTACATTGGATTATAGTACAGCCAAAAAATTAGATCGATTTGTTACACTTCTTATGTCAGTGCTAGTACCCTTCACACTGGTAGGTTGTATGCCTGATGAAGGTGACGGAGTAGTCATCGAAATGTCACAATCAAATCCCCTACTGGTTTGTTATAGGAACTTTGATTTTTAATCTGCTTTTTTCAGAGGATTGATGGAAGACAGCCATTTGACTACAGAAAGATCAGAATTAAGTTTGGTACTGAGAGGGGCAGCTGCTATGTGGAACTTGGTCAGACAAGGTAGATTATATAAAGGATGCTATTACATTATGACATTTGCCAAAAAGGTGGAGATTGAATCTGTTTAGGGGCTATTCAGACAAAATAGATTAAAGTCATTTATGATTTCAGTGATCCCTGAGAAGTAAAGAAGTAAATGTATAAAAGGATGCTTTTGATTCGGGGGTACGTGTACATTATGCCATTGTCTTCGATCAGCTGTTTCTGATTTTTTACAGTCTCTAAAACATTGAAGAGAAACAGGAACTATTTTCAAATAGATAGATATGAACTGAAAATTAGTACAAGTGAATATTATTTTTCAGAGTGTTTGCTAAGGTGTCCTGTGAGCTTTGTGCACCTAAAGCCACCAGGCCTTCTGATGGTGTTCTTTTCATCAATGTAGAGTTATCTCCCATGGCATGTCCATCCTTTGAAGGAAGGTAAATATTGACTCTCTAAGTTAAAAAATCATGGCAACTTTTCATTACACTCATAGCTAATCAATCAGAAAGTGAAAAGAGTAATATTTCAAATTTTCAGTCCCTTTTTACCGTACCACCCTCCTCCATAAATTTAATGTTTAAAAGACTATTTTTATTTCAAATTTGCTGGCAATAACAAATGATAAAATTCATCATTAGCTCACCTGGCTTGGATTTTGTAGGCCATCTGAGCTAAGTGTGGAAATAAACAGACTTCTGGAGAGGTGTCTGAAAGAATCTCGATGTGTTGATATGGAGTCCCTGTGTATCATATCAGGCGAAAAGGTAGGTCAGAGGTCTGTGGGATCTTTTCAGATGAGAAGGTTGGTCACAGGTCTATGTATATCATAGCATGAGAAAAGAATGGTCCCAGGTCAGGTTTGAAGGAAGGGGCCATGTCTGTGGGTATCATATCAGACAAAAAGGTAAATCCCAGGTCTGTGCGTATAATAGCAGGAGAAAAGATTGGTCCCAGGTCTGTGTGTATCATATCAGAATAAAAGATAGGTACCAGGTCTGTGTGTATCATAGCAGGAGAAAAGATAGGTAACAGGTCTGTGTGTATCATATTAGGCTGGAGGATACATGAACAGCTTAGGTTATGGTAAGAAAGCCAAATCTATACAGTCTTTCTCTCAAACTTTTCCATATAATATGTTCATTTCAACTACACTTATGTGAAAACTAGAAATGTCTCAGTCTACTTCACTACCAATGTATTTCAGAGGATTTGTTATATTTAGTGTATTTATCAACAATGGTGTAGCATCTGTGCAGCACATATGATACCATTGATTGTGTATCAAGAGTCCTTTAACCTTGTAAGCATTAATTTTCTTCATCCCTATATTGATGAGAACACTATGAATAAACTGTTAAAGACAGATGACTGATGTTTTCATGACAGGTATGGCAGGTGAGAACAGACATCCATGTGTTGAATCATGATGGGAATATAATCGACTGTGCTAGCATAGCAGCAATCACAGCACTCACTCACTTCAGGTATGTACTCTAAATTAACCTCTATCAACTTATAGATATGTTCAAAGTACAGGTGTTGTATGCCTGTCAACAAATAATTGATATTACCATGTCTTTCTTGAAATAATGAAAGTCTATACAATGCAATTTTATTTTTACAACTTGAAAAAAAAATAATCCAGGCATTTGTATTTTATTTATTGAAATTCTTTCTAAATTTTTGTTTCCTTGAAATAAATTATTGTATAAAATTAAAAAAAAATATGTTTTCTTTGTTGTGTTGAGCAACTCAAAAGATCTTTTTGAATCTCTCATTATGTAGGAGACCTGATGTGACTGTTGATGGAAGCAATGTTATAGTGGTGAGTAGATTCTCCAAGACTCAAGTTATATGGAATGAGATATTATACCCTGTTTCTTTATACTTTAGGTAAAGTGAATGAAAATTTACATAAAGATATAACAGATAATGTTTGAACAATTTAAATATAATGGCAATTTAGTTAACAATAAATAATTATGTGCAACAAGAAGTTCAAAAAGTGATGGCTTACCAGGTGATAGGGGAGATAACTGGTGTGTAAGAGTGGAGTTAATTCAAAAGTCTTATGAGAGTAGGTGGTTCATGTTGTTACCTGAGTGTGATGAATGCAGGTTAGAGGATTTACCAGCAATATGTAACAGGGAAAAAAGTCACAAGTTATAATCATGTATAGCAGGGAGAAAATTCATAATTATGTATAGCAGGGATAAAACTTGTTTAGCAGAGAGAAAACTTAAAGTGATATACAGCAGCGAAGAATATTCGCAATTTACATATAGCTGGGAGAATACTCAAAAGTTATGTATAAAACGAAAAAACTCACAAGTTTTGATATGGCAATAATTGTCACTTGTCAGGAGGGAGATAAAGCTCACTAGTATGTTGTGACAATGGAGATATATATCACCTTATAACTGAAACAAATGATAATATTGACAACGACAATTTCTATGTAACCACATTTCTACTGTCTCAGTGATGCTTACCATACATATTTCCTCATATAGATTTTCCATCTACATTAATATCTGGTGTACGATCTAAATCATGAATAAAATGACTATGGTACATTTCCACACATAAAAATTCTGACAGCAGCATTTTTTTAACTGATCTTTTTATTCATTACAATGTACAGTAGATACATGAATAAAAATAAACATATGCTTACAGACACATGCATGAGAACACGCCTACATATTCAAACTGTGAGACTTTATACAGATACACACCCAGGTACACACCCATAAACATACACACACACACACACACACACACACACACACACACACACACACACACACACACACACACACACACACACACACACACACACACACACACACACTCTCACACATATGTAGTTCATATGAACATGCTTGCATACAGACATATACATACACTTACATATATACATGTAGCAGCATTTCTTTATAAAATATAGGTATTTGGTTTATGATTGCAGCACCCATTGGAGGAGAAAGATCCAATCCCCCTCAGTGTACATCATATGCCTATCTGTGTGTCTTTCTCATTCTATGAGCAAGGGTAAGTGTAGAAAGGGAGATGGAAGCTCTGTGTTCTGTGCTGTAAGACATTACCAGGGGTCATTCAATGCCGTAATTCACTAATTAGGGGTCAGTGTGAAGCACTATATAGCTAGATTTCACCTCATTTTAATTGCAGAGCTAATTATAGAAAGGAGCAGTAAGACTTATTCTATGAACATGATTAAGTGTAGGAAAATAGAAAAGTTGTCTGCTGTCTCATTCTTTGAGCACACATAAGTGTAGGCAGCAGCAAAGTTGGAAATTGTGTCATTCTGCTATCGTGCACAATTAATGAAAAGTTTGATGCTGTTTCTATGAGCAAGAATTGTAAGTTCAGATGACTGAACTTTGTTCTATTCATTGATTCAACAAGCATTGGAAATTGTCCTGTTGATGGTTTACCATTCTCTGCACCGTCTGATATTATATTTCATATTAACCGTCTTTTACAGTTTCTTTCATATTTTAAGTTAAAACTTTTGTAAATGTAGCCTTGATTTATAATGAACGTTTGTAAACCTAGCACCATTTCGAACACTCTCCATTTCCATAGCCTTATTGCCATTATCTTTCTTGTAGAAAATTCTTGTTGGTTGACCCAACAGACAAAGAAGAAAAAGTGATGGATGGAAAGATGGTAATAGGAATGAACAAACATCGTGAAATCTGCACATTACAAGTAACAGGACAAATGCTTCTCCTTAAAGACCAGGTATTTGTCAATAATGTATTTGTTTTGAAATACATGTTTGTTCATGGACTCTTAGCAGCCTTGTTGTCTGATTAAGACAAGTTTAATTTTTTTGTAATTATACAGGGTTTTCCATAATTTTATTAGTATCAGGCTGTGTAGTGAAAGTAGGAGGCTGGCCTGCCGTGTACGTGTAGTCGTGTACGGAACATTATTACGGAACTGGATTGGTGTAGGCGGCCAAATGATCAAAGTAGCCGGTCAAATTGGCTGGCGACCGGCTCTTATGGAAAACCCTGACTATATTATGTGAAACATTTAATCTTTCCATGGAAAAATATTACATAAAGATGAAATAAAAAAGTACAAACTTAGATATTAAGTGCAGCACATGTTGGAAGGGACATAATCAATTTTGGAATGTTCTTATATAATACTTATCTGTCTCACAGTAAGATAATAAAAATCGTTGTGTTTTCCTAATAACAGTTAGATTACAGCTGGCTATACTGTGAATAATGTTATGTTTGTCTAGCATAACCATAAAAAACGTGCTTCATATAAATATATATTGATATATTTAGGTCCTGCCATGTTCCAACACTATAATGAGTGCCAGATATATTGATGTATTTAGGTCCTGCGTTGTTCCAATATTGCTGTGGTGAAGGTAGCAGAGACAACAGATCTTATTCACAAAGCTCTGGACAATGACAGACAGGCCAGGTATGTTGTATTTGTAATTGTTTTATAGGTCAATCTACATACACATTGGCTTATTACACAGTATGTATTGGTCAGGTTGTATTTATAACTGTTTTTCTATTTGTTTTTTAGGGTCAAAGGAGAAAAGTTTGGATACACAGAATCTGTTGCCATGGATACCATCACTACCAATGAGATGGAACCAGAGGAAGTGGACATGGATGAGGTGGAAGAGAACGTGGCAGCCTCACTTAAGACAATTAGGGAGTCCATGACCACAGTCTCAAGTGACTCGGATCCTTTTTACCTGTCAAATACATCTTTTACATCTTATAAACATCTTTTACATCTCACATACATCTTTTACATCTCACATACATTATTTACATTTCACATACATCTTTTACATCTCGTATACATCTTACTGTTTCTACATTGGCTAGACCATTCATGGCAAAGCGTTAGAGTTTGGATTATATAGAAAAGCTATTTGCTTACAAATGTATGAACTCTCAGACACATTCGTAAATTTGTTGCTGTATTTGGTTAATTAGTGACTCCAATGCAATATATAATATTACCTGGTATAATGTGTATTTTGACAAATGCAAATGCTTGTCTAAAAATAAAGGTCCTTACTTCAAGGTTCTTTGTTTATGGACATGACTAAGGATTTAAATGATATGGGTTGATGCTATTGGTAATATCAAATGTTTCTATATATTAAATTGTTCTCAAACTCAGATATTGTCCAACTGCTGAAATCATCAATTCATTCAACAACCATATGTAATGAACATATTATGCAATGATAATTACATCACCATCGATGTTTTAAGTGAGAAATGTATACTTAGGCAGAAAGTGTGGGTATACTGTTACGAAAAGTTTGGAGACAAGTTTCACCTTGACTTTTTATCAGATCTGATGTGGAAATATTGGTAAGTTTCTTTAAATTCTTAATCTTTTTTTAATGAAAACAACCAAAGTGGGCAATCCACATTTACCTTCAGATCACTTCTTGTCACTACAAAGCTAGCATTAATGTATCTATACACTGTGTAGGAGGGTATTGGCCTTGCTGTAGTTTAACTGTTCTGTCCTACTCCAGTATCGTATAGACTGAAATTGCAAATATTGAAGTAAATGGCTTGCTTACTTCCCTTGTTACATTTGTTGTTGTTGATGATGACGATGATTTTGTCATTGCTGTAGGACAAAGAGGTTGGTTCTATAGGAGAAGGAGGTCCCAGTACATGGGATTTGGAGGAGAAGGAGCTTGTAGAGGAACAAGGTCACAAGGTCACAGGACAGAGGTCAAACAATAAATCCAAACCAGATGGTAAAACTCCAATTTACATTTTACATTGGTTACATTTAGACAATTTCCTTTTAACAGAAACTTAGATAGATATTGATAGAAGTACGCAAAATTTGTCAGGAAAAATGTGATTCTTATTAGTAAAAGTATATAAGGAATAATGTTCAATATTTAATTTGATTCTGCCACTTGCCATTTTGTGAATTTAGTGGTGGTGCTGGATTCTGATAGCGAGGAGGAGGATGTCATCATCATGGAAGGTGACCAACTACATACGAAACCAAAGTAGGTATCACTTTGTCACCTAAAACAGAACTTGTCAACAAAATATATCATAAAATGATCAATTGAAGAATGCTTGAGTGTTGACCCTCTATTAATATGTGACGTTTCGGTGACCAGTACGATCCGTACGCTGTCACCTCCCTCAGACAAATGACCAGTAATGCATGTACACAAAGGTGTGATATGTGTACGAGTTGTCGTGGAATAGCGTCGATTTTGGACATGCTGACAAGTGCCGAAATGACTGTTAGCGAATAGTAAAACCATTCGGCTACGCTTATTTTATTACTTGGTCATAGATGTGCGAGAGTCTATGAGCCCCCTCATCTCGGTTCAGAACTGCCCCGCTGCAGCGTATCCAGATGGCTTCTTTGATCTGTCGCTTCAGAAGATGGTTCTCCCTATCGAGCACCTTTGAGTTTTCCCAGTCAATCACATGGTTTTCCTGCATTGCATGGTCAGTGATTGCCGATTTGTTTATCTGGGACTCCGACTGCTTCCTCTCTGATTGGGTGAACTTTTTAAGCGTAGCCGAATGGTTTTACTATTCGCTAACAGTCATTTCGGCACTTGTCAGCATGTCCGAAATCGACGCTATTCCACGACAACTCGTACACATATCACACCTTTGTGTACATGCTTTATTGGTCATTTGTCTGAGGAAGGTGACAGCGTACGGATTGTACTGGTCACCGAAACGTCACATATTAAAATTCCTGGTTGTGTATAAAGAATCTTTACATAATCCTTACTTTCCAACCTGACGAAAACGTTCAGTATTGACCCTCTATTATATTTCTTCATACCCAATCTCTAGTAAAATGCGTCATACTCAATCTCTGAAAAATTTCTTCATACCCAATCTCTAAAAGAATTATAGGTAGAGAAATAAATAATGCCTTGCTGTATATTTGTTTTTTCTGTTGACAGAGAACCAGCCTTCAACACAAAGAAAGGATCTTCAACTGAATCAACAAATCTCACACAACTACAAACAAAATCCAAGCCAAAAAAACGGAAAGGAAAACCTTCATAGTTTAATTTGTTGTAATAAATTCATGTTGAATATTGTTATCTTTTTCTGTTTTGATAAATTTTGAACTTCGTAGAATATAGATAATTTGTTCATGTCAGTCATTGTGATATACACATTGGATTTTAAAAGAGTTTCGGTTTCATATTAGTTTGGTGTAAGAAGTCTTCAGAATTTTTCATTTTAAATTGAGGTTTCGGACATCCATGTCTGTGGTAAAATGAAAAATTCATTCTTAGACTTGTTTTGTAAATCTCATATGAAATGGAAACAAGTGTAAGATTCTGTTTATCATATAGTTAAGTCTGTTTATCGCATAATGAAAATACTTTCTCAAGCATTCATAAAGACAGCAGTAGACTTATACAAAACATAAATTGGCAATATTTTCACTACATCTCTTTATTTGGTGCTTTAACAAGACACCATGGAATTCCGCAGTTCACTTTTTATTGCCGAAATCATTCACTAAAAGTCTTTTGATACTTCAACAAGTCAGGGAAAGTATACATGTTGCCAATAGCAACCAACAAAAAAAGAATGATAGACAAATCACATGACGTAGTTAAGCAGTCACTGTTGCTCTTATTGAAATTAAAGATCAGCTTAGGAGTCGATCATGATCTTGATTAAAGAGTGAATATGATTGGTTTGATCAATGTAAGTGTCCTGTACACACACCATACGCATGAAAATATTTTGAAAGGATTGTCAAGGCTATATCGTGACATGTTGAGAGAAGCAGTATTTGTATAAACATCAATATTTTATCTTTCAATGTTATTGAGAATCTAGTGTTAAAATTACACCTGATGCATACAGAGACATTCAATGCATTATACGTGTCTGGTGCGTAGTACTTTTAGTCAACAGGAGGAACATGATGCACTGTAGGGCTAAGTAAATGTAATGACCTCATAGAATGTGCAAGGAAATTGTCCAGTATAGGAAGCAGTCATGCAAATGTTTCATTGGAAAATGCATTATTGTAGTCAGATGGACATTGACACCAAAAACAAATACAATTTTAATTTAAAAAAAAGCTTTTAACAGTTACGCTTAAACTTCGGAAAGCATCAGGTAGGGTTAAGTTAGAACCACGGTAGACTAACTTTTAACTACATTTTCAGAAGTTGAACTACTGGTGCACCACGATATTCATGAAAAATAAGCTTTCGAAAAAACTTTCCCAATTATTGAATACATGTACTAATTATGTTCATAGAGGTAGCCTCCTATGGTTTGAACCTTTTTGTTTTCCTTTCATGTTACTTTGTTACCAACAGAGGATGCAGCGACGTAAAGTGTCATATACATAAATATTTTAAACTCAATCAGTCTGTTTATACGAATAGCCAAAATGCACTAACAAAAAAGCATTACGAACATTGAGTATACCAAGAAAGAAATATACTGTTAAAATTGACAATATATTGCACCATTTTGGAACACAACACTTTGATTTATATGACCTAACGACACGCTCTCAGCAAAGCCCTTTTTTGGTTGTTACTACTTATTGTGGTCCCTCCAGACATGTAGAAAATAGTGACATTGATAAACACTGTTCTTTTGGTCTTCCTAGACAGGTAGAAAGTAGTGGCCTTGATAAACACTGTTCTAATGGCAGCTGTGTCAGGTTTGGGACAGACCTCTTATAGACCTGTTTGCCACTTCCCTGAACAACCAGATGCCAACATGCTTCTCTCCGGTTCCAGATCCGAAGGCTTGGGCTGTGGACGCCCTATTTCTGGACTGGGATGTATGCATATGCATTCCCTCCCTTCAATCTGGGGTGCTACAGAAGTTCCGGGAGCATCACTGCTCCTTACTTCTGATAGCCCCTCTGTGGCCGAGGCAACCTTGGTTTCCGGAACTCTTGTCGTTTCTGGTGGAGGAGCCCCTGGCTCTCCCCACCATACCGAATCTCTTTCGCCAGCCTCGGTCCAAGACGACACACTCTCGACCAGAGATCCTCCACCTTCACGCGATTGTGATTGCTGTGTCGGCAGGGAGATTGATCCGTTCAAAGCCTCTGTGCAGTTGATTGCGGACTTCCTACTCTCTTTGTTTAGGGACCACAATCTTGCCCCTGGCATTATAACCCCTATTGCAAGTGTCCTTGCTTTTTACGGCAGGAAGGAGATAGGTTCGTCCTCCTCTCTTTCTGCCATAATCAGAGGCATCGATCTGGATAGACCCAGAGCTCGGCAGCTGGCCCCACGGTGGAAACTTGCCTTGGTGCTAAATTCTCTGACTAGGGCTCCTTATGAGCATTTGGAGTCTGCCTCATTAAAGTTCGTAACTTTAAAGGCAGACATCCTTTTGGCTCTGGCCTCTGGTTATAGGAGGAGTGAAGTCCACGCCTTGTCGTCGCTTCCTTCTAGCCTACGATGGCCCAGAAGCTACACTGTCGTAACTCTCCTAACTGATCCTTCCTTTTTAGCGAGGGATCAGGTCCCGGGGTTCTCGGTAGATCCTATCAGGATCATAGCTTTGACTAGCTCGGAGGAGCAAGATAGGTTGCTTTGTCCTTGTCGGGCTCTCATCTTTTATCTCGATAAAACCAGGGGGCAAGGCTGTCGATCCCGTCTGTTTCTGCCCACCAAACAGGGACAACGAGATATCTCCTCCCAGTCGGTTTCCAGGTGGGTTTGCCAGGTCATTAAGTACGCTTACGAGCATCCTGATGATCAAGCTCGGGGCGAGGGTGAAAGTTAGGGCTCTAGAGGTCAGGGCCCTCGCTGCATTCTGGGCCCTCCTCAATGGGTCCTCCTTTCAGGAGGTCATGTCCTTCTGGCGGGGCAGGGATACCTTCACAGATTTTTTATCTGCGATCCCTAGTTTCCCACTCTGAAGGCCCTGTATTCGTTGGGACCTCGGGTGGCGGAACGTTCAATGGCCGTGCCTCGTTAGCCCCGGGGCATGCCTTTCCGTACGGCGGCACGTAGGTTCACCTACTCCTACACGGGGAGGTCCGTCCAATTCTTGGGCACTCTGTTCCCCCTCCCTACTATTTAGGCTGTGCTGTATGGGCCACCTGGCATCTAGTCACCACTACGGTAAGACAAATTCGCATACTAAAGTTATGGTAATTATTACTGAAACTAAATTGAGGTTTTTTCATGTAAAACCAATTTTCATGAGGCAACACTTTCCATAACTTTATTGAGTCCCACCCTATCCTTCCCTCTCCTTTTCTGCCTGGCTTTCCCTCAGTGGGGCTCCATAAAGGTTGTTAGAGAACGGGAGATCACTCTATGTCTATGCCGTGATGTCTGATGGGATCGTAGGGAGGGTGGGATTTTTTTTAATGTTTTGTTTTTGAGATACAAAGATAGGTGTAGGTACCATATTTGTATACTTAAGTTATGGTAAGTATTACCACATGAAAATTGGTTTTACAAGTCAGTTAAACAACTCACATTTACCTCGCTCTCAACCTTATATCATCATTGCCTTTCTCCTATGTCTGTAGGCTGGCGATGTTCTTTCAGTTTGAAGGTACACTGTACGGCAATGAATCCAGTGGAAATTCTATTATTTTTAAATCGAAGCACAAAAGCTGTTTAGAGTTTTGAAAAATCCACTATCCATTAATTCTACTTCCCGGGTCTACAATCATATTACAATTGTGACACTGATTAAACTTAACTAAAGATAGTTGCAAGACGTTTAGACAAAGACGTCGGTTGATTAAATAGACCAACACACAATAAAGCAATGCTTGTGCGGGTTGTAGCTCTACATTAGATATAAAAATTAAAAAAAACCCAACTTTCCAATGATTACAATTGCGTAGAACTCTTCCCGATAATTATATGGTTGTTTGATAGGAATGACAAGGCTGACTTCAGTTAATTTCAGTCGATTTCAGGGCGAAGAGAGTACGCTTCTTGTTTTGTTGGAACATGCCTCTACATCATGATATATATACGAGTATTGACTAACAATTTTTACCTCTCTTATAACCCCACGATTAAACGAGATCCGGTATTGCACATATCCGGGAAATTTTTTTAAAAAAATGAATAAATGAAATAAAATATAAAAAAACGGGATATGTATTCCTCAAGAATAAGTGTAAATTTCAAAATAAAAAAGTGGAAATTTAATTTTGTTGTTCACTTTTTTTGTGTGTTTAAATTAAATAAGGTTTAATGATGTTTAATCGACATTTATATGAAAACTTCTGGGTGATGTAACAAATTCAAATTTCAGTGGCTAGACAACCTTTGTCGTGTTTAATGGGATGGACATGTTTTTATTGGTTTATAACGTGACAGCATAATAGTACTGTCGAGGAAACGTCCTGGTTAGATTTAATGTAGTGGAATTTGATCTCACGTTCTTGCTATCAGAGAACACTTGAATCACCATTATTGTATTTAATTTCAGATTAAAACTCGACAAACAATTACATCTGCTGTTGTGTCAATATTACGTTTGATCAAAGTCTCGTACAGTTGGCGATATTACGTAATCAAATGCGCTAATATGATTTCACTAAAAATAGATAAACCCCCACGTCCTCTTTAGACAATAGATAGAATTCGGAAAAATTGTGTAATAGAAGTTAAGAGGAAAGAGCGATATTTGTTTTGTTATTGAAAAAAAACTTTGAAATCAACCTTTTCCGATAATTATCAGGCATAATTACAGTCTTTATATTCACCCCCCCCCCCTCCCTCTCCCCCAATTGTGTCCGGTGTATACTCAATGCTGCATATGTCGCTTACTAATTGCCTCTCAGTAACATTACATAAAACGACAGAATCAAACGGAAAAATCACAAAAAGTAAACATGAGATACAAAGAAGAAAGTACAAATAAATGTGACCATGTCAAACCCTGTCAGCATACGACGAAATATCACACCGATTCGTCACTGAAGAAACAAAGAATATCGACATATCCTTTTGTTTCGTGGGCGGTACACGCACGTAATTTTAGGGATATCAAGAAGTGGTGTATGCTAAAATGAGAACAAGCTTAACAACAACGGGACCACTATATATACTAGTGAGCAATGAACGGA